TGCTCTATAACCTTGACAAGTGCGAACACTTGAATACTAAATGCCCCACACTTTTAAAATAAAATAATTTTTAAAATCTCATTCAGAATATAGCACAGAGGGATTTTTGTTTTTTTCTTAAAATATGTCATCAAATTGGTACACAGTTGATATCTCATTCTCTAATTATCTCCCAGCTTCTAGTTAAGTAAGATACTCTAGTTTTAGAAGAATGAGAGGGTATTTGTCACATGAGGAATGAAATCTTGCTCTTTAGTGAGAAGGGTGTTGAATCTGCAGCTCTGATTCCTTGCCAAGAATTATGACTTTCTGCTACCTCATGAAATTCAAATACCAATTGGTCAACCTTCAAAATATCACAAGGCGTGTAACCAGGATGCCTGTACTGAAAGCAAAGATAAACTCTTGGGTATAGAAACAACCCAGGAACAGAGTGCACAAAATAAATTAAAATCAAAGCTTACATGGTACTGGTGGTGTGAGGAGTCAGTAAGAGAATATATGACATGCAAAAGATCAAGTCACAACAGACCCCGAAGAAATATAAAAGATTATCAAAGATTACTGTGTACACTTGTACAGAAACAAACTAAAAAACCTAAATGAAACGGAGGACTTTCTGACATCACACAACTTCCCAAGGCTGAAACAAGAAGAAATTGAGACCCTGAATAGACCAATAACAACCCAGGAAGCTGACTTTGTCATAAGAAGACCACCCTCAAAAAAAGCCCCACTTAGACGGCTTTCCAGCAGAATTCTACAAAACATACAAAGAGGAGCTGACACCAATTCTATAAAGCATTCCAGGCAATTGAGAAAGACCGAACTCCCACTAAATCATTTTATGAAGCTAATATCACATTGATACCCAAACCGGGTAAAGACCCAACAAAAAAAGAAAACTACAGGCCAATATCCTCGATGAAGATAGAAGCAAAAATTCTCAAAAAGATTATAGCAAACTGCATTCAAAAACACATCTCAAAAATCATCCACCATGACCAAGTAGGCTTTTTCTCCAGGTTGCAGGACTGGTTCAACATCCACAAGATCATAAACATAATTAAATACGTCAACAGATGTAAAAATAAGAACCACATGGTTATATCATTAAATGCGGAAAAAGTTTTTTTATAAAATCCAGGATCCCTTCTTGATAAAAAACCTTGAACACCTTGGCATGGATGGAACATACCTCAGAACAGTAAGAGCTATCTACAGTAAAGCCACAGTCAACATATCACTAAACAGACAGAAATTGGAAGTGTTTCCCTTGAAAACCGGAGCAAGACAAGGCTGTCCACTCTCAACCCTCTTGTTCAAAATAGTATTGGAAGTCCTAGCTAGAGTAGACAAGAGAAGGAAATCAGGGGTATCCAGATAGGAAACGAGGAAGTTAAATTATCCTTCTTTGCTGACAACATAATCTTATACGTTGAAAACCCAGGAGAATTTGTCAAAAAAACCCCTGCACCAATAAAGGACTTTGACAAAGTCTCAGGGTATAAAATAAACATGCAAAAGATAGTTGCATTCCTATACACCAACAATAAACAGACAGAAACCCAAATAAAAAACATAATCTCATTCACAGTAGCGACCAAAAAACAAAAACAAAACAAAACAAAACAAAAAAACCTTGGCATCTTCCTAATCAGAGACGTGAAAGACCTTTACAAAGAAAACTACAAAACACTGCTCGAAGAAATCAAAGAAAACAAAAACGAATGGAAAAATATCTCATGCTCATGGACTAAAAGAATTAATATTGTTTTTTTTTCGTTTGTTTTTTTTGAGTTGGAGTCTTACTCGGTCGCCCAGACTGGAGTGCAGTGGCCGCTCCTGGCCACCGCAGCCTCGCCTGCTGGGCTCCGGCAATCCTTCCGCCTCAGCCTTCCGAGTAGCCGGAATTACAGGCATGCGCTACCACGCCCGGCTGATTTTTTGATTTTATTGTAGAGATGAGATCTCGCTGCCCAGGCGGGTCTCGAACCCGCGGGCTCAAGCAATTCACTCACCTCAACCTCCCAAAGGCGCGGGATTACAGGCTGAGCCACCGAGCCTGGCAGAATTAATATTGTTAAGATGTCCATTCTACCATTCTGTCAAAGGCAATCTACAGATTCAATGCGATACCCATTAAATTACCAACATCATTCTTCTTAGACCTGGAGACAACAATACAGAAATTCTTATAAAAACATAAAAGTCCACAAATAGCCAAAACAATCCTTAGCAAAAGAAACAAAGTGAGAGATAACACACTTCCAGACTTTAAACTCTACTGTAAAGCTACCATAATCAAAAACAGCCTGGTATTGGTACAAGAACGGGCATATAGACTAATGGAACAGGATAGAGACTCTGTAAGCAAAACCTCAATTTCTCAACCAACTCTACTTCGACAAAGCCTCCACCAACAACCAATGGGGAGAGGAGAACCTATTCAGTAAATGTTGCTGGGAAAGCTGGCTGGCCACATGCAGAAGAATGAAACAGGGTCCCTAGATATCATCATACACAAAAGCCAACTCTATATGGATCAAAGACCTAAATGTGAAAATCTCAAACTGTAGGAATCCTGGAAGAAAGTGTAGGAAACACTCTTATGGAAATTGGAATAGGCAACCAATTCCTTATCAACTCCCCAAAAGTGAATGCCATAAAAGATAAGTTAGACAAGCGGGACCTCATCAAACTGAAAAGCTTCTGCAAAGCAAAAGAATCCATCAAGAGAATGGGGAGACAATCCACAGAATAGAAAAAAATGTTTGCCAATTTTTAATCTGACAAAGGCCTAACATCCAGGATTTACAAGGAACTCAAGCGTGCTGAAAGGAAAAAAAACGAAACAGCCCTATTAAAAAACGGGAAAAAGATATGAATAGCCACTTCTCAGAAGACATATGAGCAGCCAACAGATACATGAAATAATGCTAAGCCTCACAAATCATGAAAGAAATGAAAATTAAAACCACACTGAGATGATGGACATCATCAATAACTAAAAAAACAACAGATGCTGGAGAGGATATGGGGAAAAGGGAACACTTCTACACTGTTGGTGGGAATATAAACTAGTACAACTTCTGTGAAAAACAGTGTGACGATTTCTAAAAGATCTAGGAATTGGCCTTCCATACAACCCAGCAATCCTTCTTCTGGGAATATACCCAGAGGAACTCAAATCACTCTATGAAAATGATTCCTGCACATGCACGTTTATTGCACCATTACTCACCATAGCAAAAACATGGAACCAACCATGCTGCTCATGGTTTATTTATAAGATACAATATTATGCAGTCATAAAGAAAAACAAAATTATGAACTTCACAGCAACTTGGATGGAATTAGAGGCTATAATACTCACTGATTTATCACAGAAACAAAGATCTGAGTACCACACGTACTCACTCATAAGTGGGCCCAGAACATTATTACAATACCATAAGAAAGGGATTGGCAGTAGTGGGACACTGCCAGGGGAGTGGGGACACATAACACCAATAAGGGTACCCACACTTATTTTGGTACAATGACTACTTCTGTACCTAACTCTGAATTGTTCTGCACATCTTTAAAATTAAAAAAAAAAGAGTAGAAGTAATTCAAAACCAAGAAGAACTGAATTTTTTCCCTATGGACATTAGAGGTTTTTGTCTTTTTGTTTTTACTTTAAATTTTAAGCTTCACATTCCAAAAAGTATTTCTGCAGCACAACAATTTGATTGTTCTAAACAGTCTCATTCAGAAGAAAGGAAACAAATGTATAAGCCATTTAAATTAACAGGGAAAGACAGTACTGGACATCTAAGTGTGAGTTCTGTGCCTCTGTGATGGAAACAGTAATGACGTGATGAATTCCAGTTTCCTTGGAAACAGCATGATCAAAGCATATTGTGTATTCATAGTAGGATGCGGACCTATTTAGAAACATAGCAGTATGATACTAAGTATATTTTCCAGTGAGAAATTCAAGATAATTTTGCCTGTGGAAAGTCTGGTTTATTCACAGATCCTGGGTTTTTCTGACCAACTCTATTTTTGTTTGCTGAAAGAAAGGGAACCATTGACATTCACTTCACACACTGCCATCCATTCAGGAACATCTATGGACCTGCTTGGGGCCGGCCCTGGGCCTGTGGGCACAGGAGGTACGGACCCATGATGGCACAGAGGGCACAAGGTAGAGCAAGGGTGCCTCAATGGACTGGAGAAATAAGTACGTTTAACAAGAAGAATTTAAAGAACAGAAACAAGGAAATGTCAAAAAAACCTGGTGTATAAACAGGTAGAAACATACGCTCGAGGATTTGAGAGGATAAGAGAGGTAGAAGAATACATTCAAGAAATTATATTTGAATGGTAATGTGCATTCATTAAAACATTGTTTGTAACTGCAACAACACACTGCTTTTATTAAAAATAGACCGAAACTACATCTAAAGACAACGTGGCTGTGACTGGAAGGTGGTGGAGGCACTGGTGACCTGGGCTGGAAGAGTGGACCGCGTTCATGCTCACTACTGAAATGTAAAGTTCCGGGGCATTCCCCAACAGGGCCCAGACCAGGCTTTGTGAAGGACACACTTGGGAGGGCCCAGGGCAAGGACGGATTCAAGAGGGCTTGGCTTGGAAAGGTCAATGAAACAAGAGTCTCCCTACTCCAGGGCAAAGAACAGTGGCTTGCCAACCCATCAAACTGATAAGTTTACAGCAAAAGAAATATTAGAACATTTTGAAAAAAATCCCAGAGTTTCATTCATTCCAGACCCACACTTTCAATTATCTAGACAGGAAACTACAGAAGATTTTGGCTTCTTCAGCATTTGCACTAATGTTTGTTTTGTATGAAACTCACGGACTTGCACAAGGAAATATTTCAGATTACGATCTTGTTAGCTCGCTCAAGTCCTACTCGAGCCATGCAAGTAAATGAAGAGTTGCAGGGGCTGGGCTGGGCCAAGGCGACGTCAACGCAGGGGAGGGCCTACCCTGTTGCTTTCACTCTTTGAACGGTCGTTCTTTGCCTTGGCTGTCTTTTCCGCAAGCTTCTTCTGCCTTTGAGGGCCTCTTCCAAAGAAAATGTAGTTGACAAAGGCATACTCCAGAAGGGCCAGGAACACAAAGACAAAGCAGCCCATCAGGTACATGTCGATGGCTTTGACATAGGGGATCTTGGGCAATGTCTCCCGCAAGTGCGTGTTGATGGTCGTCATTGTCAGCACAGTAGTGATCCCTAGAAAAGAAACAGTGGTGAGAGGTTGCAGCTTCGCCATGCTGGTTGCCACTTTTCACTTGCCTTGTGTGTTTCCTCAAACAGCTTCGCATAGTTGGAGATATAGCACTGAATGCCACTGGGCAATTGTAAAGCAATAGAGCACACTGTATCATGTGGTCAACATGTCACACTCAGGACAGCGAGTGACACTTCTGCTCTAGGGAAGCAAGACCATGAAAGACCCATTCCCTTTTCTGCACCTTGCTAATATGGGGGATGAAATTTTGAGTGGAAGAAGAGATATGTAGAACAGAAAAGAAGAATGTGCTTTTTATGAATGCTGGAAGAAATGAAAATAACCCTGGAATTTAATTTGTGTGTCTAGATAAGAAACTTCCAAAAAATACCTGTGAATTTGAGGTTGTCTGTGGCCATAGAGGCAAGGTTGTGAGCTCATGGGACTACCCATCGGAAGAAAAGAATTCTTATACTGTGCTTGTTGAATGCAAGAGGAGTGGGCACTGTTTTTTTTTTTTAATTATTAACAATGAGATCCAGTTTTGAGCTCAAAGAGAATGGAATCGTTTAGTGAAGCGCCTAAGGGCAGATGATCTCACAGAGTGATTTTCCCCTTCAACTAGGAAAGAGTCTGTGCATCAACTGCTTAGGAAATGTTTACCCAAGTCCAGAATTAATGATTTTATTCAGTTTAAAGAATCTCACCACACTCTGGAGCAACTAACCAGATCCTTTTTTTAAAATGTCATTATGTTGGATTGTTTACTTAGCGTTGTGTGAATGATGTTATTGTTTTTCTAATAGAGCTCAGTTTATGCTGTAAATTTACCATGTAAACACCATATTTTGCAATTTTCCCTCCCATAGCAGTAGCCACAGTTCTTGCTATGCTAAAATTCTACATTGAATAATCTGATGCCATACAGACCAGAGACCACCAGGTTGGGTGGAGACATGACTAGAGCTTGTTGAACTGGGTTGTCACACATGCAGGAAAAGCATGGAGTGCTCACTTGTTGGTGGGATGGTAACTACTGCAAGCTGACACACTCTCTTGGAAACTGAACTTTTGAAATAGTAAGAAGTCTTAAAGAAGCAAGACAGTTCTTCAAAGTGTCAGCTCTTTTCTACCCATGCAACTGGAGCCACTGAATGTGATGATGAATATGTCCTTTAGGACCAAAAGGAGAGAACAACTTCCTCTGAATTTCTGTCAGGCCTTCCCTCAAAATGGACACTTTCCAAGGAAAGAGTCTAACCACAGTCCTTCCTCCCCAGCAATCCCAAAAACAAATGACAAAATTGAGGGTGGAAGGCAGTGCAAGCCCGATAGGTCAACACTGCCAGGAGGCAGGCTCTGGGGAGGAGCCCGACCACTCTGCACATTGTCCCTGCCCAAGCCTTCAGCGCAGGATATGGATATGCAAAACGTCATAGCCTGATCCCCTCATGACTCCCATTCCATTCTTGGGGGCAGCAACCTCCTTCTCTGTGTCCCACAGAATGTTTCCCGGGACTATAGAGCATAGCTAACCCGGGTTGAGCAGGAGAACAGGCCAGACAGCCCAGTCTTCCGTCTCCAACACAGGCTGTCCCTCCACCAAGCTCTGAACTGCTAAAAACAGAAGAGCAGAGAAATGAAGACCTGAGAGACTATTTTTATGCATAGCTACAAACCACAGCTGCTTATGGAATGTATGGAAATCCAAGATGTCAGAATATTTTAAGATTCTCCCTTCACATCACATTCATGTGGCACCTGGGGACTTTTTAAATTTGAAAATGGCAATGGGATAATTACAGTTTTCAAATAAATGTGAAGATACTGTGCAAATGCTACAAAATCGGGGTTCCCGCCATTATTCAAAAATTGTATAATGCTGCTGCCACTACTTTATTCCCCCCTTAAAAACAGCTTTGGGAAGCCTGAATGCTTTGCTGTGGGCATTGTCTTGCCTCTCCAGCTGACTCTTTTGAATGGACACGTAGAACACAGATCTCAGTGAATGTCTCAGGAAATGGACTGAAGGCCCATTGGAACAGATACAGCCAGCACATCTCATAGGCCTTTGGCGTGGTAGTCGGGGCCCAGAGAGACATGGACCAAGAACCCGGATCCAGGCACATCCACACAAGCTCAGGAGTCCCTTAGCAACAGAACTTTGCAATAAGTGCTCCCAACTTTCTAGTTTAGGCTCACATAAGCTGGTAGCTTAGAAGGAATAAGCCTTTACCAATTCCTTCTGTCATGTCCTCTCCTACCTAGGGTACTGCAGATGGTGATGAAATGTGGTGCACAGCTGGAGAGTGGAGCCACACGGCCAAGACCCAAAGCCCAGTTCTGCCTTGATGGGTCCACTGTCAGTCTCTGGAGCTGCTGGGACTAAAGGCAACACCCGAAAAGCATCTGTGATGTGCCAGTAAATGGTAACTGACTTTGGCAACACAATCAACAACAAATAAGTGTTACTATCATCACTACAGAATGTGGTAGCCTCTAGTTTCCTGGCCCTGCCTTGAATCTCTGCTTTCTAGTGGGAAGTCATCCAGCAGTAGTAGGAAGATGGCTGGGTGGTGCCCTTCATGTTCTTTATACATTCACCAAGCTGTTAAGTCTTTCTACACATTGTTAGCCTAAACTTATTTTTCATTTAGATTGTGTGAATAAAATATTATACTTGGACAATTGTATTTATAGAAGTAGCTATGAAATTAAAATATTTTTTGTGTTGTTTGATAGAAATATTTTATTTCTCTTTCTTATGATCAAAATAATCTGGCCTAAATTACATTAGTATATATTTTCCCTTTTAGAAGTGCTAACACGATTACAGGTTGAGCATCTCTAATCTGAATGTTCAAAATTCGGAATGCTCCAAAATCCAAAACCTTTCGAGGGCCTATATTACACTCAAAGGAGACGCTCACTGAAGCATTTTCGATTTCAGATTTTTGGATTATGGATGCTCAACCTGATTCCCTGATAACGGGCCCTCAGGGTTTCAAGGAAGACCATCTGATTTACAACTCCCCATTTTGCAGTCAAGTGGCTGCTAATGCTAGCCAGTCAGCGTATCTGGGGGTCAGACCCTGTGCAGCAGAGACATAAAATCCTGCAGCCCACAAAACAGGCCAGCAGCACGACAAGCCCATCTCTTCCCCCATGAAGTCTAGGTCCATCAGTACCCAAGTCGGAGGGAGAGCACTCCACAAAGGCCTTAGTCAAGTACCCCTCTGTCTGTGTAGATGGGCACCTTTATGAACCCATGGAGACATAGGGTGCCCTTATAACAGTGCAGCCCTTCAGGATGAATGCAGACAGAGTTCTGAGAGTGCCAAAGGATGTGGCACAAGACCAGACGTTCGGGGAGGGGTTGGGAGAAGGAGGATTTCTCCACTGAAAACCACAGTCATATCCTCTTAAAGAGTTATAGAGCACAGCAACATCTTAGAACTTCTGAGGGATACCTCAATAATAAGAATTAATAATAAGGCTTGCTTAACTTTCTGGTTTTTGGTCTATTATTTTTTGCATTGTAGTAAACCAAATAACTCTTCTGTGTAGTGTCTATTGACAGTTTAGGAATTATCTGTAGTGATTAAGGAGGAGGATCTGGAAATTGGATTAACCACATTGAAATCTTTCATCTGACACTTAGTAATTATGTGACTTCCTACCAGTTGCTTGACTTCTCGTTCCTTGTTTTCCTGCTTGGTTAAAATGGGAGCAGTAACACTGCCTACTCTGCTATGAATCTTCTGCAATCTAGACAGCTACACAAATGGCCTCAGAAGAAAATGTGGCACCTAAGTATTTGGTAAGTTTTAGGTTTTATTATCATTGTTGCTGATGTTTTGATGATGGTTATAATGTTAGTCCGCATTCATAATTCTATGACATAATTGTCCTAAACCTGTTGGTATTAGTCAGTCTTACATTTCCCAATACCTGTAGACCCAGATTCAGAGACAGGTCCTGGCAGCAGGGACAGAGGGAATGAGTGTGCAGGTGTCATACTCTAGCAGCTGGATCTGTTGGACTCTTGCCTGGCCAGACCTCATAGCCCTATGATGGCAGTTGCCTTCTAGACCTCTTGGCCTCAGGGTCACTCTGACTGTAGTGAATACCCACCCACTCTGCATCTCACACCTGTCCCCCAGAGGTCAATCCTCCAGTGGTGAAACCTCAGCAACCCTGGCCAGACTGTTCCTTCATCGCAGCAGAGGCACAGAGGCAGGATTTAGGCTTGTAATAATACTGCTATGCTGCTAAGAAAGACTGGGATCTACTTCCATATACCTCAGTGAGGTTGGGTTGAACATATGGGGTGGGGAGGGGCGGAAAACAGGAGTTTATTTATTAAAAATTGTGTATTCATTCTTACATATTTAAACTTCAGTCAGCTCCAAAGTGCTCTCCATTTGATGCAATACCCCTTGTTTTGATGTTTTTTCTACCGCTGCAAATAGTTTTTGAACTCATCAATTTGGCTATCTTTCAGGGCTTCTGCCGTTTTTTGATTCACCAGTTCCACATCAGCAAAATGTTTCCCTTTGAAGACTTTTTTCATACAGGGGAACAAATGTTGTCCAGGCAAGATCAGGCGAATAGGGAAGTTGGGGCATGATGCTCATGCCATTTTGGGCCAAAAACTGCTGAAGACTCAATGTGGTGTGGGCTGGTGTGTTTACAAATCACCCATCATGCAATGGACAAACACGTGGAAAGAATTTCCAAAAAAAGTTTACTGACCCTGCACATAGCCTCTCACAGAAATGCTAGCTGGTACATTGATGAAGATGTGTTCCTAGAACACTTATCTGAAACTAAAAGACTTCCCTTACAATCAAAATACTAAAAATAATATTGGAACCTATAATATCTATTGTATACTGACTAATAATCCAGTTGTCAGATAACCAATGGTCAGAAAGGATCATAGGAGTGTTTGGAAATCACTCAGAATCTAACTACACATTTTAATGCTCAGTTTTTTGGGGGGACTCCCCCCTGTAGCCCACTGCAGGAGGAATATTTGGTTAATATTATGGATGATGATGTTTTACAAATTAAGGAAGGATAGAATTTGTATTAGCTAGTAAATATGGATATTTGCATTTTCAGTACACCTCACCCTTTGCGATGCCAGATAATCATGATTCTTTGGTACTCATAGCTTGCCAGTTATCACAGTAATGGCCAATTTTCCACAGCAGATTCACTCTGAAGTTCATAAAGCTTCAACCTCAAGTCTCCATTTGCGTAGGCCTCTTCCAAGCTCAGAAAGGGGATCCCAGCAATTTTGTATTTGTATATTCTATATATTTTTTAAGGGCACGTGCAATTGTATAAGCTAACAGCTCCACAATTTGAATTTTCCCTACAAATTCATTCCATCTCTGAATTTTCCAGTTGAAAAGAAAAAAGTTAAACAGAGTTGCATAGTAATATTTTTCAAACCCTACAAAAAGACTGACATTCCAGTATAACCTCTGCAAGAAGTAGAGAAATCTTGAAGATTTTTAAAGAGAATTTTACTTATGCTTATTAGAAATAAATGACAATTAATACAGCACTTTAGATGTGAATACTTTACTTTTCTCAAAGTGCTTTTTTTTCACCTGTCACCTTTAGGAATAGCCACCTGATTTTTCTCAAGTCATAAATCTGCATTATTTCCTGGGAAACATCTGATCTTAACTGCAACAGTATGAGTCTCATATCTGTCATCCACATGCACATATGTACTTACATTCTGGTAGGAAATAAAAAAATGATAGTCAACCTAAAGACCTGGGAAAAGTCGGCAACAGAAAAAAGGAAGAAAACAGGGATAACTGTCATCTTTAATTCTTATGTTTTTCTGTAAGCTTCCTACTAGCAAATGTGTTGATAATGCTTCTATCAATTTTTATACATGCTATTGATAAATTTACTTTCAGTAATTAAATTCAACCTTATCCAAAGAGAGGATGGACTGAAGATTGCTCATCAGCTCTGTATTTACCTAAATGTATTTAATTAAATGATTCTGTTGTCCACACGATTTCATACTTTTTAGCTGAATAGAGAACAGTAATTCTGAAAATAAAAGTCTTCCCTTATAATCAAAATACTAAAAATAATATTGGAACCTATAGTATATATTGTGTACTGGCTAATAATCCAGTTATCAAATAACCAATGGTCAGAAAGAATCATAGGAGCTTTTGGAAATCACTCAGAATCTAATTGCATATTTTAATGCTCATAAAATTGCATAATTCCAATTACATGCTGTAATATTTTACTATTTTTCTGACTTAAAAAAAGAAGAGTGCACAATTAACCAAGTCTTCTTTCTGGGCCATGGGATAATTTTGAGCAGGAGATGTTAATCCTTGCCTTAAAATTAGTGTCAAAAATAGTTTTATTATGCAAATATTCTGCAAGCATATTTTCCCTTTCATGGGCATGAAAATTCACATTTGAGCTTTGTAATTAAATTAGCACATCAAGGGAATCGTGCGTGAAATGTGTGTTTCAAGATAAAAAGTGACTATATGGGCAGTGCTTGTGTCATGATGTCAGAAATGGTAGTTGAACGATAGTCTTTGAACTCTCTTAATACTATAATGAAGGGTTATTTTTACATTCCAAATATCACTTGAAAGTAGCACATACCAAGAGCAACTCTAGCAGCAGATGCATCATAATTGATCCAGAAGGACACCCACGACAGAATTGTGATCAGTATGGAGGGCATGTAAGTCTGAAGAATGAAGTATCCAATGTTCCTCTTCAACCGAAAGCTTAGTGAGAGTCGTGGGTAGGCACCTATGAATGACAGACAAAGATGTCACGTTGGAGAAAAGAGACAGTTGAAGAAAAAGGGTGCTTTGACTTCCACGCGTCAACAGCGTCCGTTTGAAAAGTCCGAGAGCCAAGGGGGCCACCCACAACTATGCAGTTGACTTCTGCCTGCCAATGGTATTTAAGAGAATTAGAAGGAGAGCATTTGTCAGTCTATTTATAAGAAAAATGATGAGGATACTCTTCTAAGACTAAATGTCCAGCTGAGAACCGTATCTAGGAAAACTTTGGGGAAAATGTTTAGTTTAGAATACAAAATAATGTCAAATACTTTATTTTTTAATAAATGACTGTTTCTTTCTTCTTCATTGTAGACAGGGGAGGTTTGGTTCAAGACTTTACTAGGCAAAAAAGACTTTTACCAGTTATCTTTTTAGCCCGTTCAGAATGACTGTGAACACAAGTGCTGGAGGCATTGCCCCTAGACTGACTGGGATGGATGGCTCAGGAGTACCCTAAGAACTGGAGAGTATTCAGGTGTGGTGGCGCATGCCTATAGTTCTAGCTACTTGGAGTGCTGAGGCGGAAGGATCACCTGAGCCTAGCAGGTCGAGACTGCGGAGGCGGTTGGCATGCCACTGCACTCCAGCCTGGGCAACAGACTCCAACTCGAAAAAGAAAAAAAGAAAAAGAACTGGAGAGGCAAAGAAGCAAGTCCAGTCCCAGAGAAGCACTGGTGCACACTGAGATGTTCTGCTTTGGCCACAGAAGAGACATTAAGGAGAGCCTTGAAGAAGCACATGTCTGCTTTCTTGCGTGTCAATCCCCGTGATAATCCTTGGACACAAACATTCCACTTAGCAGACTTTGGAATCCTACCATCACCACCATTACATGGTGTGAAAACAGCCTGCTCATGATGCCACTTTTTTTTTTTTTAGAGTTGGAGTCTCATTCTGTCGCCCAGACTGGAGTTCAGTGGCCGCTCCCGGCCACCGCAGCCTCGACCTACTGGGCTCCGGCGATCCTTCTTCCTCAGCTTTCCAAGCAGCTGGAACTACAGGCACGCGCTACCACGCCCAGCTAATGTTTTGATTTATTGTAGAGATGAGGTCTTGCTGCCCGGGCGGGTCTTGAACCCACGGACTCAGGCAATCCATTCACCTCAGCCTCCCAAAGGCGTGGGATTACAGGCTGAGCCACCGAGCCCGGCATGATGCCACTTTCATGTTATATGTGCCTTTTCTGCTTCATTTTGTTTTTCTTGGAACAAGGCATGTGTGGGCTTCATTTCCTCCTGCTCATTTCAACAGTCCACTTTATCAGTTCATTCCTCTCACACCCTTTGTTCTGGATTCTGATTACACTGCTTGAAGGTCAGCTGGTGAAAACCTAAGACCTTCCCTAATCATGAACTCCCCTGATTCCTTCCCTCCCACCTTCACAGACAGATGGTTCTGTCTTCCTGAGATGCCTACACCCTACGCTTCAGGAGACCCTGCCTTTCTTGATCTCTTTCTGCTCCAAGCCTGACTAGCTCCTCTCCTCCTATTGCCCCCCAAATATATATTTCCCAGCCTTTATTCCATGTCCATTTCTGTGTTTCTTTCTGCATTCTTTCCTTTAGTAGTCTGATTGACTCATATGACTATTACCACCATGTGGAAGACGAATGATTTGATCTCCAGGCCTCCTACTTTAGCATCAAGCACATTTTCAGCCAGGATTATATAAAAGAGAAAAGAAATCACCTAACAGACCCAGCATTTAAAGACTGACAATCTGAAAAATCTCCTCCAGTCTGTGTGTGTGTAGTCTCTTTTACACGTCTCTGATGAAACGCATGTATATTGTCATCGCACCATCAAAATTGTCATAGTTGCTGCAAATTATTTGTAAACACAGTTTTAAGTGCTTTCTAATTCTCCATCAAATATAGACACATGGACTGTGTAAGTACAGATTCCTGAATGCTGTCGATTTGGGTGCTTTCCATTTTTATAAAACTGCAAATAGTAGTCTTAAGAAATTCTTAGAGCAGAGCCCTTTTGCTATATTTAGACTTAATTCCTTAGGATGAATATGCCAAAGAAGGATTTGGTAGGCCAATGTTTAAGACTTTTGATACATATAGTCAAATTGCTTTGCAAAAGATTCACACCAATGCATACTGCCACTACCAGCAGTTTGTAAGTACTTATCTCACTTTCCAAACATTACAATATTATACTATAATAGCTCTTATAAATAACTTTTGCTAGTTCTTTTGGGAAAAATTTGTCCTTTCAATTGCTTTCTTTAATTCAATACTTCTTATATGTTTACTTTTTGTATTTAAATTTATGAATTAATTGATTGTACCACACATTCATTTTCCTCATCTCTCTTTCCTCTTACTGGTTTTGCTTTTGCACTTATTTATGTACTAATTCTTGTATTCTCTGCCAGCATTTTTCCAGTTTTCTGCTTTAAAACTTGTATTGGTTTTGAGTGGGAGACACATAGATACTTAAATTTTTGTATGTAGTTGCATCTATCCATTTCATTTTTTTCTTTTGATTGTTAAAACTTGTGTTAGGCTTAGATAAGTTTGTGTTCATGATAGAGATCTACCCACAAACTTATTTGGAGGGTTGGGAATTATTTCTGCATTTGGCATAAGGTAGAAAAGTACGTTGACTTTTGTTCCACAAGCAGCTAATCAATTTCTCCTACACCATCAGTGGAATGAAGCCTCCCTTCGCATAGATTTGATACAGCTCTGTTTTTTTGGATTCCACTCCATGTAAATGTGGATCATGGACCCGATGTGTCATGGAGGTGGGTCAGAAACTCTTCACGTGCCTTGTTCTTTTGGTGCCCAGTCCTTTGCTCCTTTGGGTACCTTAGGAAGCACAGCACTGACAATCACTATCGTGCAATACTCAACATCTTCTATGGCTCATGGCTTCCTGTAAACATCAAAAACTCATCCAGTCCTTTTAGCTTTTCCATGCTTTCCCACAGTAACTTCAGCTTTATTTTCCACCATGTTTCTGCATTTAGTGAAAGAGGACCATGGTGCCACAAAATAATTGTGCATATTTCCTGCCTCTGCTGATTCACAATCACTGTTCTTAAAGCATGTCATTCTTTATTCATACTTCAAGGGTTTGGTCAAATGCACATCTTTCATCACTCTTTTCTTCTTCTTCCTCCAAATTCACCCTTTTGAATTGCTTTTTCATTAAAAGTATAATTGTTAATATTTACTAAGGTAAGATCTTTCTTAGTAATTTGTACAGTCCCCAAGGCAGAGTTTGTGAAATAATGTATTTTTTATATACTGTAAAGCCTAGGTAAATGTCAAAATCATCACAGGCTATAAATAAGTACATCTGTATGCTGAATGAATGAAAATAGGAGCAATGAGTGCATTCATATGACTCTTGTTGAGTGTAATGCACAAAACATTCAATATTTTTAATGAATCTTAGTTTGAGAGTCCATGGCAATTTTGATAACTTTATTGAAGGAACTTCAATATTAGCTCTTAGTTTGTAATTTCAAGGCAATCTCTGGCCTTTCTTATCACTTACTGTTTGCTTCTCCTTGCTTCAGATAAATCTCACTATATCCACCATACTTTGTAATAGTCTTTGTATCAGTCAGGATAAGTTAGTTGTCTTATGCTGCAGTAACAAATAACCCCCAAATCTCAGTAGTTTATGAAAAAGATTTTTTTTCCCTTGGCTATAAGTCTGCTTCACTCCCTTTGTCTACAACACTGTTGTACATTGTGGGAGGAGTACCACACATACTTCCTGTCACATTTTATTGGTCAGAGCAAGTCTTATTGCCAAACCTTAAGTCAGCAGAGTGAGAATGTTTAATCTTCTTTAAGAGATGAGCAATAAATATGTTTGAATGGTAATGTCATTTACCATATTTGCCAACTTTCCATTTTTCAAGTCAACTTTCTTAACATTTTTCAAAGTACATCTTCAGGGAAGCTGTTCCCAGTATAAGCTGATATTGACACCCACACCCATACAATGAAATATGATGGCACTATCTTGAGGACACTCACTCTTGTAATGTGAGGAACCAATGACTCGTATACATAGTCAAACGCTCAAAAGATCATTAGGGACGTGAAGAAGAGAGTACTAAACTAATTTCAAAAATGCCCTAATATCTGGAATTTCTCCAAGATACTTATTGACACAGAGTTTGTAAGAAAATACACCATTTTCTTATGTATTTGTTTAGCACATTCATTCTATTTGTTAAAAGTGAAATGCCACTTCAAAGCAACAAAATTTTTTGTCATTCAGCATATTCTCACACATCCCAGGCTCCGAGGTGGGAATAGCAAATGGGGAAAACAACAAAAGTGAATAAAAGTATTGTCTATGCTCTCAACAAACTACCAACCCATGTCAGAGAGACTAATCACAACTGACCCCGGTAATGACAGTGCACTCTACTGGAGATACACAAATATTCTAGGATACATGATTTAGTGATTTAGGAAAGATTTCATGGTATCTGAACTGAGACACTTATGGTTGAATAAGATTCCTTCAAGCAAGGTAACAAATCCAGCACAGTCCTTTAGGATATCAAAAGACAGAGGCCTCAGAATGTTGTAAACAGAATTAACAGAGATAGTAGATCTATTCTGCTAGGCAAAGTTTTCTGCAGTTTGATGAGTATCTTAAAGAACACATAAAAGTCCTTTTGTAACTCTGTTAGACAAAGTCCTTACACTGGTAGAACAGAAAGCCATAATATATGCTGTACCTTTGAGGAAAACTCCCAAGTGATCTTAGCTAGTGGCCAATAACTTAAAGCCGAGAAGTAATGAGTCAGCTGCACCAAGACATCCTCTTCCAAATGGCAGCAGAAGCTTTAAAATTACAGCTGAAATGCACTGAAGCCCTAAAACCTGTGTGCCAATGCAGATGGAGTCAGGTCTCTGAGTAGATGCTGAGCCAACAGATAGAGGCACAGTCCCCAAACACAAGTGCATCTTTCCAATT